AGTGTTAGCAGCGCTAACTCGTGTCCTTGGCAAGAATGAGTCACTTACTGAGTGACTAAGAGAAAAAAGTTGGAGGGTTATGAAAAAGGATTAATAACAAACATCTTGGCACGTCTTTCATTTAACTAGTATCAGCTGGAAAAGCAGTGTGAGTACAGGTGCTTCTGGGTCTGCAGCAGTCCCAAAGGACTTACGTATATTAAGAGTAGTAAGTCCCAATTGTCAACCCAGAAATGGGAGTAAGTGTGAGGTATGCTGTTTTCTTCCGTGTGTCCTGCCAATGTGTCATGCAGTTACCATACCAAACTTGAATCTTGGTCACTTGGGACCAAGGTCTGTAGGACTGATATTCCTTCCAACAGCTGCAGGATGGTTTCCCCTCTAGAAAAGGTCCGTGGCAACCGGGTTGCTGTGCATATTCTCTTTGATTGCGCTAGCAGTCTGTGTTTGCTCCACTATGGTGATTTCTTCACCAGTTCGGAGCCTACATGTTTTCCACTCTATAATCCTTCACTACATCTTTATAGTGCACTCTACCACTTTCCTCTTTCTACTTAGAACAATGTGTTCTCCCTTTACTGAGCTATTCTGTGAGCAGGGGCTTCTACTGATTTCAGAGCTCCTTCATTTGCCTTTAATACGGACAAGGCCACTCTTCAACTATCACAGTCATCTTCTGAAGGTAAGAGCGGATGTGTTCACCACCCCAGACGGCACGTTCATGTGCACAGAAGTGCCCAGCCTGAGTAAACATTTCATTTCATTGACTCTTTAAATTTTCTACCCAAGAAATTAAGCATCCCTAACCAAGATTTGGGTATTGAGGGCTACAAAGGTTATTTCCCCCATTTTTTCAACACTGATGAAAACCAAATTTATGTGGGGCCTCTTCCACCACTGGAATATTATGGGGTGGACAGCATGATGCTTGAATTAAAAAAGCAGTTCTCAGCGTGGCACACAGATAGTCAGGAGAAGATTTTTGACTTGCAAATACAACTGAGTTACTATTGCCAGCAAGGTGTAAAAACTTTTGAAATTATACAGGAGTGAGATTATGGTGCTAATCTCTGGGGAAGGACTTTTTACTAGGTCATGTAGTGATAGGACGAGGGGGGATGGCTTTAAACTGGAAGAAAGCAGGTTTAGATTAAACATTAGGAAGACATTTTTTACTTTGAGGGTTGTAAGGCACTGGAACAGGTTGCCCAGAGAGGTTGTTGAGGCCCCATCCATGGAGGTGTTCAAGACCAGGCTGGAAGGGGCTTTGAGCAACCTGGTCTAGTGGGAGGTGTCCCTGTCTATGGCAGGGGGGTTGGAACTCGATGATCTTAAAAGTCCCTTCCAACTTAAACCATTCTATGATTCTATGATAACCCGTCACACAGTCTGTGAGACAGAAGACAGTGAAAAGGTGAAGATCCCTTACAGTGCGCTGGCCTCTATGTGCATGACCTGGTTTATGTTCCTTTAACCTAACACAGTAGCACTCTTCCTTTAGATGGCTATTGTCTAAGAGCAACCTCCTTCAATGGCATGTGTATGCGGCAAAAAAGGAAAATATTCAAACCTGTCAAGCATTACAAGTTGGGGAATATCAAATAGGATCCTGCTTCTTGCACGTCTATGCAGTTATTGATGGGGTATCAACAGCTTTTGAATTTAATGGGTGCTTTTTCCAGAGCTGTATCAGATGCTACCATGAAAATGACCAGAACCCTCTGGCTGGGGACCGCCTTTGGATACATATATTACACAACACAAGAAAAGAGGGACGATGTAAAGAGAGATGGATTTCCCATCAGATCTATATGGCAGCATGAGTGGGCCACTATGACAAAATCAGATGGGAAGCTTGCACAGTTCTCAGCCAGGACCAAACTGCCCACACTGCTCATCCCCAGAGATATGCTTGTTGGTGGCAGCACAAATACCATTTGTCCATGTTACAAAAAACTCCCAGTGAAAAGATATGTTTTTATGATTTCACTAGCCTCTCTCCCTTCATGAAAACAAAACAAAACAATAGCCTTTTGGACTTCCCAAAATTATTTTTGAGAATTTTGACTCCCTGACAACCTGCTTTGGGATGGTCAAAGTAAAGGTGTACTTGCCTCATGGGCTGTTTTTTCCCTGTGCTTCCTGTGCAGGCAGAAGTGGAAAAGCCCCTTGAGACGGCTGAGACCTCTGACCCTGCAGTTCAGGAGGTGTTGGATTATGGGCACACGCAGTATCAGAGGAATGCACAAGCACACTAGGGCAACACAAGCATATTTCTTCCTGGGATAACCAGGGAAGTCGTGCTATTCATAACCATGCTCACTGGTCCTGGAGAAACACAGGCTCTAGGGAGGCAGTGGCTTAGGTAGACACCTAGAAATGTTTCTTTGGTGCAGGAGTCTGCTGAAAAAAACACAAGGAAGCTGTTCAGTGTCCATCCTCACAAGCAGTCAAAGAGCACGTGTCCCCACTGGTTTATTTCTATCCTGTTATCAAATACCCTGTACATAACCATATGAACAGTGGTGATCAAGGCCTAATGCAATGTGTACTTCTGGCTTCTCTCTGGTTCTCTCAAGTTTCCTGTTTTAATCCAGGAATAGTGTTCAGCACATTCTTTGTCTGAAGACAGGTCAAAGGCCAACGGTATAGCCACTGACAAACTCTTTCCTGTCAACCAGCAGGCAATGGCCCTTCGTATGGCTGCCAGTCATCTGAATGAGCTGTGTGCACTCTCTCACACAGCAATCTCAAACTCGGGCTGCAGCACTGGCATTGGGTTTTGTTGGTATTAGTTCGCCATCCAGATACAGGGCCACAAAATCTATATCATAATGCTTGAAGTTGAAAGGATTCTTAGCATTCTTATCTATGGACCCAACAACAAGACGTTTGTGCAGCTGTTCCAGAAACAAATTTTCCTGGTTGCCAATATGACTGCCGGCTGGTATGCTGGACACTTTCATGCCCATCTGGTGCACTGGCTATTTTGCATTAGCCATAAGTAATGCCCCAGTGTGCCCCAAACGTACTCCAGGCGCCACCCACACTTTCTTCACTAAACAGCAAGGCATATGTAATGAATGACCAGTTCCTGCTGCTGGGCAGCTGATCAAACAAAAGCTGTCTTTGATGTACATCAGCTCAATTTTTACATTCATAAAAGCATGCCTTGAAAGAACAGATCACCATGGAGCAGTCCAAATAGTCCAGTCCAACTCTGGGCCATCAGAGCTGACTGTTGCCTAAACGATGCGATCCAGCGTGCCCGCTTCCTGCTGCCCGGCTGTGTCATTGCAGAACAATCCCACGGAGAAAGGCATTGACAGTGTGTCATGGCTGTAACTGAGAAGCAACTCCAGTTGGTGCCCCAGTGTAACGTCCAGCTGGCTGCAATAAAGAGTCCAGTGGGTAACTCATGGGGCCCACAGCCTCACCAGCACATAGCTTGGACCTGTCAGCTGTTACAGTCTTGCAGCACAGGTACGGCAGGGTGTTGTTCAGATCTGTGTAATTTCCCCCATTCTCAGTTATGAAAAAGTCCAGAGGTACAGACTTTCTGCAACAATGAAAACTGAAGGCAGCTCAATAAGCAGGCTTTTCTTAGTGCCAGTCTGTGTTGGGAACACTTCAAACAAACCTAGCTTGTGTTTGGTACACTATTCTGAGCAGCCATGACTGAAAGCTGTCCCTTTTAAAATACATTTCCTTTTCTATGGGTAGAATGGGACCTCTTTTTCCAGGTTTTCTGTTTCTTTTGCACCGTTAAGCCTGGCTTGTTCTTTTTCTTCTTCTCGTCCTAGTCAGAGCATTGTCTGTCCTTTTTCTTTTAAAGGGCTGGGTGGACCTTCCCTCTGTGAGCATGACATGCATCTCTTTCTTTATGGCTTTTTATTTTAATAGAAACGAGTCCCAGGCCTTCCTAATTTGCTTGCGTTTCCAACTTGTTTGGGACAACCTTGGAAACATGTCCAAACACATGTTTTCCTGTATCTTGAGCGGTGCTGTTAAAGTGTTGCTTAACAATTTCAAACCCCCTTTTCGGTTGCAGGATGGTCTTTCTAATCAGGCTACAGAATATATCTGCAACACACAAAACAGCTTGAAAACCAGGGAGACCATGCCAGCTCTGTAATAATTCACGTACAGGGATGCATCCCCATAACTTCTTACCACTATAATTTTGGTGTGGTTTCTTAAAATATTAGATACTTCCAGGGCTGAAGATGCAGTTCACAATCATTTACCCAAAACAAAATGAGATATGCTTATGTTGGTCAGTCTTTATTTCAATGCTGATTGTGTTGATGTGCTGGTGGTCTACCAGCACATAGTGCAGCTTGCCATAGACCACTATGATGATCTCATTGTTATTATCACTGGTTGAACACAGAGCAATAACGTAATCACAAATACCCTGACAAGCTGATGCTCTGCAAGATGTATGTAGCAGTGAAGTGAGTTAAACCCTCCAGTGATGTCCATCAGAGAGGGGAATTTCTTAGCAGCAACTTGCAAAGAAGCCCCCAAAGTATGTGCTAGGTTTCTATAGAACAAGTATAAGGAATTAATCTGCTTTAAACTTTGTTTTCACTATGATGTGGTCACTCACCTGGTCCACTGCTGGAGAGCTGATGGCTAAAGTACTCTTGTGAGGATTAATACGATGGTTCGCATGTTCCACTAACATGGAGACGGACAGATAATAGCCATTCTGCAAAGCATACTGCCACATCTTACCCTGCAGTGGTATTTCAAAGGTAGCTTCTTTGATGACAGTATCCCAGCTGTGCAGGTACCGTATTTCAACCAGCCCCATCTCCCACTTGCCTGAGGACTCAAGGTGCCTCACCAGCTCTACAGTAAAGTTCATGCTCGTGTATTGTGGAATGATGCCGGTGCTGGCATTGCTGGGCAGCATGATGTTCTATGATCACCCTTCTGCCACCGTTCTTTTTTCCTCTGCTCGGCTGCCAATCACTAGATGTTCTGGACACGCGAGGCTCCTGTCCAACTGTTACATTTCTGGGAACAGCCCCGCCACTGTTTTCTTTCTTCCTCTCCCTTCTGCAGTCACATTCTTCCCAATTCTGTAGATTCTGTCCTCGTCAGGATTCATTTTTTAAGTTCTTCAGGGTAAAATGCCCCCTCAATTGCTTTGTGATCATAACCTGTTAACCAGTACGCAGGTAACTGTCCCCTTCTCACAATCTCAGCTACTACAAAAATTTCATCTGTGAACATCTGCTCATAATCTTTCTCAAATCTCTCTTTTGTTCTAGACTGCCTGATGCCGTCTTCCTTTTTGAGCAGAGGTGCAGATTCTTTCATTCTAAACATCAACCTCATATATGGTTTTCCAAACCCTTGCAGAGTTTAAAGTGTTTGTGTCCACAGGCCTGGCTCTGATAGCTTGGTGGAAGCTGTGGTTATAGCTCTTCATAAACTTTGATGGCATCTCAGTGTAGCAAGAAGTGTTGCACATTGTAAAATATCTCCATACCTTGGTTTTGAGCGTCCTGTTAAAATGTCCTATGACAGAGGCTTTTATTTCATTATTAGTAATAACATGGTTAACATTATCTGCTTTAACAGCTTGTTTAAAGGTTGGTTTAAAAATTCTTTTCCCTGGTCCATCTGCATTTTCTTTGGCTTGCACTGTCTTCTAAAATTGTTTTAAAAGCCCCAGCTAACTCAGAACATGTTTTGCCTTTTGGATCAATGGCTGAGGCAAGCTTGGTTTGTATGTCTGTCACTGATAAGATGTACTAAACACCATCATTATGACGTAAAACTGTTGCATATGCACCAAGTCTGCTTGCCATGGTGCATCTACCTCTGCCACAACCACCTGCTTCTTTTAAAGTGCTTTCTTGCTGCCTTGTCTAAGCTAAAAGTGTCCTGGTTTTCAAGCCAGATTGCCCCTTGGCTTCTTTTGAGATCAGCAATTCACCCTTTAGCAGCTTCAAAAAGGAGATTTATACCCCAAAAGGTTCCCACTTCCCCAGGAGGACAGTAGATCTCTGCTAACAGAAGCTGTGGCATAGAGGTCTACTCAAAGGCTACTATACATGCTTATGAAAAGACACTGGACTATCAATTTAACTCAAGTACAGAAAAACTCTGCTAACAGGGTATGAGAGGAGTTGGCTGCTGGTCAGACTTCTCCAGGCTTTTTCCTTTTTTTCCTTCAATGCCACTGTCACTTCTGCACCCATGCTCCTTTCCTTGGCGGCTGCAGGCCCAGGCAGGAAGGCAGACCAGTCGTGGCACGCTCCCAAGCCCCCTGACTCAGTCAGAGAGAGCTTTCTGAAACATTTTGCAAGGTCATCAGCCAAAGGGTAAGGCAACATATACAGCAGCAGCTTGCACCCCATAGTGGTCTTACAGGTATCTAGAAGAATCCCCATAGCCATGGGCAAAGGGAGCTTCCCACTCTACTCACCTTCTCTGTGTGACACCTCCAAATCCAATTTGTGGTTCGCAAGACCATTGGTCGGTTCTTCTCGTTCACGTGGCCATTTGGGGGATTACCTTAAGGTCTTCTCCTTCCCAGTCCAGCTCACAGGATCGGTCTCTGCACATGACAGGATTTGCACCAGGGGCCCCTTGGTGGCCTCCGTAGCCCTCAGGAACATCCTGACATGTTTGTGCCCCACCACACTTTTGGTGTCCCTCTGCGCTTTTCAAGTCCCCCCACCCCAGGCATGTAGTGCTTGTGCAGCTTGTACCAGCTGCAGCCTGGTAAAGCGTGGGGCCCCGACCCAGTCTATTCATTCCATTAGCTCTTATTAAAGAATGTTTTACCCATTTTGTACCTTTTCTCTTAGGGCTATATATATTTCTGTATCTTGATAAATGTGTGTATATTAGCTATTATATAGTGTAGGACAGCAGTAGTATCTATAATATGCAGTACCATGTATAGTGTATCTGTCCATAAATAAATAAAATTTATATTTATAAACATTTATACACTCCTTTCTAGTTAGAATTCTATATATGTATGTATTGTATATACTGTTGTGGTGGGTTAGCCTTGGCCAGCTGCCAGCAGCCCACCCAGACATCCTCTCACGCCTCCTCAACAGGATGGGGGGTGGGAATAAGATGGGTTGAGATAAGGACAGGGAGGTCACTGCCCAATTACTGTCACATGAAAAACAGACTTGCCGTGTGGACTACAAGTCCCTGAGTATTTCAGCAGGGATGTGTGAGTGGGTAACCTTCTCTCCCATGACTTAAAGGCACACATGCTATTCAAAATGCAGGGTCCAATCCTGTGATAGCTTCTGCAGCCCCACAGACCCTACAGGAACATAACAACATGGTGTCCAGGGCCAAAACCTGCAGGTGTTTTTCTGATGGGAGACTCTCCACCACTCTCCAAAGCCTCCAGACAAGGAGGTTATGGTGAAGAGGATGCATTGCTCATGCAGGATTTTTCCACATACATAGAAGGTACCTACTCAGAATACTGTGTCCAGAAAAGCATCCTTGGACTTAATGGTATCCAGTATGCTGGACCTTGTTCTCCCCAACAAGGAGGGGCTGGTGGGGAATGTCAGGCTCAAGGGCAGCCTTGGCTGCAGTGACCCTGAGATGGTAGAGTTTGAGATCCTTAGGGCAGCAAGGAGGGCGCATAATAAGCTTGCTACCCTGGAATTCAGGAGAGCAGACTTTAGCTGCTTCAGCGATCTGCTTGCTGGAGTACAGGGGGATAAAGCCCTGGAAAGAAGAGGGGCCCAAGAAAGCTGGCTAATGTTCAAGGACCACCTCTGCCAAGCTCAGGAGCAATGCATACCGACAAAGACAAAGTCAGGCAAAAATTCCAGGACTCCTGCATGGATGAACAAGGAGCTCCTGGACAATCTCGAACAGAAATAGGAAGCCTACAGAGGGTAGAAACAAGGACAGGTAGCCTGGGAGGTATACAGAGAAATTGTCCGAGCAGCCAGGGATCAGGTTAGGAAAGCTAAAGCCCAGACAGAGGTAAATCTGGCCAGGGGCATCAGGGGCAATAAGAAAGCCTTCTATAGGTATAATGATAAAAGCAACACTAGGGAAAATGTGTACCCACTCAGGAAGGAAACGGAAGACCTGGTCACCCGGGCCACGGAGAAGGCTGAGATACTCAACGAGTTCTTTGCCTCAGTCTTCACTGGGAAGGGCCCTAACCCCACTGCCCAAGTTGCAGAAAGCAAAGGCACAGTCTGGAAGAATAAGAAATTGCCCACTGTAGGGGAAGACCGGGTTTGAGACCATCCGAGGAACCTGAACGTGCACCAGCCCATGGAACCTGACAAGATTCACCCACAGGTCCTGAGGGAACTGGCGGATGAAGTTGCTAAGCCACTATCCATCATATCCAAGAAGTTGTGGCAGTCTGGTGAAGTTCCCACTGACTGGAAAAGGGGAAAAATAGCCCCCATTTTGAAAAAGGGTAAGAAAGAACACCCGGGGAACTACAGGCTGGTCAGTCTCACCTCTGTGCTTGGCAAGATCATGGAGCAGATCCTCCTGGAAACTCTGCTAAGGCACATGGAAAATAAGGTGACTGGTGACAGCCAACACGGCCTCACCAAGGGCAAGTCATGCCTGACAAATTAGGTGGCCTTCTATGACGTGTTACAGCGTCAGTGGATAAGGGGAGAGCAACAGATGTGATCTACCTGGACTTGTTCAAAGCATTTGACACTGTTCTGCACAACATCCTGGTCTCTAAATTGGAGAGACATGGATTTGACCAATGGGCCGCTCGGTGGATAAGGAACTGGCTGTATGGTTGCACTCAAAGAGTTGTGGTCAATGGCTCCATGTTCAAGTGGCAAGCAGTGACAAGTGGTGTTCCTCAAGGGTTGGTACTGGGACCGGTGCTGTTTAGCATCTTTGCTGGTGACATGGACAGTGGGATGGAGTGCACCCTCAGCAAGTTTGCCGATGATACCAAGCTGTTTGGTGAGGTAGACACAATGGAGGGGAGGGATGCTATCCAGAGGGACCTGGACAGGCTGGAGGGGTCGGCCCGTGCAAACCTCATGAAAGTTCAACAGGCCAAGTGCAAGGTCCTGCACATGGTTCAGCGCAATCCCAAGTACAAATACAGGCTGGGTGGAGAATGGATTGAGAGCAGCCCTGAGGAGAAGGACCTGGGTGTGCTGATTGATGAGAAACCCAACATGAACCGGCAATATGCAGGGAGGAAACAAGGAAAGCCAAGGCAGCCTTGGAATTGAACCTGGCGAGGGATGTCAAGGCCAATAGGAAGGGTTTCTTTAAGTATATAGGAGACAAAAGGAAAACTAGGGAAAATGTGGGCCCGTTGTTGAATGAGGCAGGTGCTGTGGTGACGGATGATGCAGAGAAGGCGGAGTTGCTAAATGCCTTCTTTGCTTCTGTCTTCACTGTTCGGGCCAGTCCTTGTGAGACCCAGACTTTGCAGGTAACAGAGAAAGTCTGGGGGAAACAAGACTATCCCTTGGTTGACAAGGAGCACGTTAAAGATCAGTTAGATAAATTGGATATACATAAATCCATGGGGCCTGATGGGATGCACCCTCGGGTGCTGAGGGAGCTGGGGGAAGTCATTGCTGGGCCTCTCTCCATTATCTTTGAAAGGTCCTGGAGGACAGGTGAGGTGCCGGAGGACTGGAGGATAGCCAATGTCACTCCAGTCTTCAAAAAGGGCAGGAAGGATGACCCGGGAAACTACAGGCCGGTCAGCCTCAC